CCCCCCCCCCGCCCGCCTCCTCCCCTCTGTGCCGGATGATCTCATTACATGTTGAAACATTATGATGCATACATTAGCACATTGATGAGGAGCAACTGTGTCGTGTGTTGTAGGACGAGTTCAGACCAGAGCAGTTCACAGCAGTCATGTGTAAAATGTGCTAATTAATGCTTTAAATAAGGTTAATTTACATAACTGGTCCTGTGTTCAACATGGTGGAGATTAAAGAGGGAAATGAGCAGCAGAAGGAGGGTTGAGCTTCTGGTTTCACATCTTTGTGTTTTAATGAGCGAAGAAAGAAAAGTGAATAAAAACACTGTGGGGGAGGGGGGCTCAGTGAACCTCCAGGTGAACCAGGGAGAGTTGATTGGCACAGCTGAGAGGAGTTAGCCAATTAGCTCCCCCTGGATTCAAAGGGCAGCAGCGACACATGGTGCGGCTGAAATATTCAATGTTTGCTGATGAAGAGCAGATGAAGAGCAACATGTTTGTCTCTGGCCGAGTGTGGGAGACCCCGGTGGCGTCGGACATTGCTACAAACATCTTAGTATTTCATCTGTTTGTCTCGACTCCACTCTGCAGCCGCTCGGTCCCACGTTTCTCTCATTTAGCTCGGACTGGATTTGAGTCGGTCTGGAGGCGTAGTTCTTCGCTGCTGGATTATCTTCAGAGACAGAAACAGAAAAGTGGAGCACGAATCTGCACAAGTTCAGATTAATTAACGCGCGGGGCTCTCGGGATTCAGAGGACTTCTCCCTCATTATTTGGATATGATGTTTAATTAGTTTTCTCAATTTACAGAACAAATGTGTCCTCTCTTCCTCTTTAATTAAGAGGATTAGAAAGAAGCAGGAAACACATTCAGGTACAGTGGAGTCAGTTTATTAGGTACACCAAAATAAATGTTTCACTCTGTTGAAATTATACAAAGATGAAGGCATTTACACAAATTAGAACATTTGTCAAGTTACCATGGTGATTACTTTGTCTTTTGAGACAGTATACACATCATAAATCTAATCCTGTATTTCTACACAGTATATATTAACGGTCCCTGTCGTCTCTGAACGTCTGTTTGTCCGGATTCACTCTGACACTGAGGAAAACTTAGAAACCTGAATGTTCTCAGTGAAGTTGATTCCACTTCCTGTCCCACTGGTCGTTTGCACGTTATCTCGTTGGTACGAGATGATTTGTTTTCTTGAGTGTGAACAGAGTGTGACTGTGAATCAGAAATGTTGTGTTGACGTGCAGCTACTTATTTTGTCTCTGCTGAGCGATGATCTGAAGTGTTTGTGGTTTTGTTGATCACAGTTCTATCGGTTTGTCCCATCTGCTGTTCACACACACACACACACACACACACACACACACACACACAAAATCTGACTGTCTGACTGTGACTGTTAGCGCTAATTAAAGGTTTACACATCCGTCCTCTGGAACGGTGTTATTAGCACTCTGTGTCTGTGTTTGTGTGTGTGTGCACGCACGCACGTGCACTTACATAAGGAGATGTCACGGTGACTCAAACCCACGAGTTTAACTTTACACTGGGGGTGTTGACAGACACACACACACACACACACACACACACAGTTAGTGCAGCACTTTGATTTGGTTATTTTGAAACACCGAAGCCTGTGATAACCTGTAGTGTGTGTGTGTGTGTGTGTGTGTGTGTGTGTGTGTGTGTGTGTGTACACGCTTCTTTCATCTCTCAAAATCACTCTTTGTACGATGCAGGGTTGGTCTCTCCCCTCAATTATTCATCAGCTTGTTTCCATGGAAACAGCTGCAGCCGTGTGTGTGTGTGTGTGTGCGTGTTTCGGGGTGGTGGTTGGTTGATTTCACTGCAGGGGGAGGGGCTTCATCAGCTCATTAATGTGTGTTATTACCTCTGATGGTCACATTGGGACGACTGACCACATCGTCTCTGACCGAGTAGAAACGTTTCAACAACAATCACAGGGACGTACGTGTGGTTCAGACATTCATGGTCCACAGAGGATCGATCCCACCGTCTCCTCTGAGTTTTACTGTAGCGCCACCATGAGGCTAGTATTTGTAGTTTTTGGTGAAATAATGGATTTATTTAATGCCAGATCTGTGAAGTCACAACTTCTATATGTACAGATGTTTGACACATTTTTAATTCAAGAGAAACATCCCAGTTAATTAGAAGTAGTTTTAGTTGTATTACCAGGAGAAGTGAGAGTAGTAGTAGTAGTAGTAGTAGTAGTAGTAGTAGCAGTTTTAGTAACTGCTGTTGAAGTTGCGTTTGGAGTATTTTTTTTGTTATCAGCAGCAGTAATAATAATAGCAGTAGTAGTTGTAGTAGTGATAGTAATAGTAGTATTTATCGTAGCTGTTGTTGTCAATGATGGTTTATTTTTTTAAAGTTAAATAGTACTGGTAGTAGTAATATTACTAGTAATTATGTTGCAGTTCTAGACGTTCTTTTAGATTTTTGGTAGTATTACCAGCTGCAGTATTTGCTGAAGCAGCAGTAGTACTCATAGTTATAGCAGTATTTGTATTTAATGATGGTTTATTTTTGGAAACCTCAGCAGCAGATATTAGCAGTAGTAGTATTTGTTGTAGTAGTTACTGCTGATGTTAGGGGTATTTTCGACTGTTTTTGTAGTATTAGCAGCAGCAGTAGTAGTAGTAGTAGTAGTAATAGTTAAGAGGGAAACGTGATGACAGTAAATGTCAGTACATTGTGCTGCCATGTTGTCTCCAGCAGGGGGCGTGGTAGTCTCTCAGTGGAGCGGTGGCCTGTGTGACCAGGAGGGGGCAGCACACCTCAGTCCAGATCAGAGAACAAGACGTTACTACAGAGTGACGTCAGAGAGGAGAGGCGGTCGAGAGAGAGAGAGAGAGAGAGAGCTGCAGACATGATGACGTCACTAATCCACAATAATCACACATGTCTGACCACTTCCCACAGGACACGCCCCCTCCGCTGTCAGCCAGTCACGTCACAGGAAACACACCTGCTGGGTTCCCATTGGCTGAAACAGTAAAGTTACTGTGATAACTTGTATTTATACTAAAATAAATACTATAATAAATACTATTACATCTGATATACATTCAGTTTTCCTTCCATCCTTCCTCCCTTCAGTTTCCTTCATCACTCCATCTCTTCCTTTACTTTCTCTTCCCGTCAACTTATTTTCTTAATTGTTTCCTTTCTTCGTTCCCTTCATCCCTTGTCCTCTGTCCCTATCCTTCCATACTTCACTTCTTTCCCCCTCATCACTCTTTTATGAATCCTACTCTTATATCATCCACCATCTCTCTCTCTCTCTCTCCCTCTGTCATTCTCTCTCTCTCTCCCCATCATCCATCCATCCATTCTACCCTCTCTCTCTTTCTCCATCATCCATCCCCCTGCCTCCATCCACCCATCTCTCTATCTCTGTATATATATATATATATCTTTCCATCATCCTTCCATCCATGCTTCTCTTATTTTCTCCTTCAATCCCTCCCTTCACCCATCCATCCCCATCCCTCTGTCCACCCCCCTTTACCACCTCCATTATCCCTCCATCCAGCTGCACAGAAACACATTACAAATCAGTGGAGAGATACAGCTCCCTCCTCCTCCTCCTCCTCTTCATCCTCTAATCTGCGCAGACTCTACCTCCCCCCTCCCCCTTTCCTCCATCCCTCCCTCCTCCTCTGCTGCCTCATTTTATGGAGCAGCTTCACATCTGCAGCGCTCTCTCTCCTCCTCCATCATGGCTCCTGTTTGAGGAGGTCGTCCGTCCATCACTCCGTCGCTCACAGAGGAGGAGAAGGGAGGAGGAGGAAGAGGTGTAGTTTGTGGAGGCTGCATCTGCATGGCGCTGGGGGGGGAGGCGACGCTCGGCTCGGCTTCACCATGATCGCCGTGTCGTTTAAATGTCGCTGCCAGATCCTGCGCAGGGTGAACAAAGGTAGAGCGACACAGACGAACACTGGGGGGGAGAGAGAGAGAGAGAGAGTGGATGTGTGTGATGGAGGGCTTAGCATGTTTGCATGTGGGACATACGTGTGTGTGTGTCTGTGTGTGTGTGTGTGTCTGCATGGTCGAACGACATTTGGTTCAATGTCTGCAACATTGAAAATAGAGAGAGAGCAGGGTGTTTATG